AGAGAGAGAGAGAGAGAGAGAGAGAGAGAGAGAGAGAGAGAGGGAGGGGGGTTTGGCAGGGTGGTGGTGCTGTTCATCAGGGCTCGGTAGCTCAAGAGATGTCCTGCAAACCTCACCTGAGCAACATCAGGGGTTTCATACATCTCAACATTCAAATAATTATTCACCCAAAAAAAAATCAAATAAGTCAAACGAACAGAGAAAATCATCCCAGAAAAAAGAAGGAAAGAGAAAATGTGGAAAAACCCCATTCAAGAAAAGGAAAACGCGATCCCAGAGCACAGACAGGATAAATATAATAAATTCGGCATCCACCTATTAATTGTAATATTGACAGCCCTTCTATCAGCCTCAAATGCCAGGAGGTCGGACATGATCTCTGCAGTAGCTCCTCCTAGTTTCTGTTTACAAATATTTTCAATCATGAAATAATAACTGCCCGTAATCAACCATTGATGCAATAAAATACTAAATAGAGGTACATATGTGCACATGTGTTTATCAATGTGTGTGTCTGCAAGTCTATACACACATATGCATGGAGGTTTGTATGTGTGCGAAAGCCAATATAACATAAAATGAGTCCATATCTAACCGAAATGCTTGACCACAACGACGCATATATTCTATCAATGGGCTCAGCCCAATCAAAGTTTACAACTACACATCCACATGTGTGCATTTCAGTGAGGGACACCCAATGTTTGGATTAACCTATCAATTTGTTATATTTTAACTCATCAAACATGGTGCATCATATTACTCACAGAATTTTGCATTGTACCATAATACTTACCTCATACAAGAAAACATATAGAACATTTACCTGACAAAATTTATAGAAATCCTCAAGATATGCTTTGTAAAGAGTATTCCTCATTATCTCAATATTCATGTCATCCAAATCCTGCAAAACATAGAAGTTATGTTTTATTGTATTGCTTAATAGTAACGTACCACAGTGTACAATAAGAAATGAAGAAGAGTTGAGAATCAAATTTGCCTAGAAAATGACTGGTATACCCTTGTTGTAAAAAGGTAAAATAAATAACTTAAGATTGCAATCAAAATCTTTAGTTAAAGGAAAGCAGCATATAGATTATCCCCAGTAGCCTGGTGAAGGTAGGTGTTCATCTCAACCCTTAGGTTCTTAGCAATGATAATAATAGGAAGAATGCCAACAATAACAACTACTTCAGGGCCATATAAATACAGATAAGTTCAAGCCAATACCTCTGATGTGATGCATTCAGAGAAATATGGAGCCAATGGTGTGTCAACAAGCACCAATCTGTAAAGCTCGCGCATATTTTGAGCAACAGCAAGTGTTGCAATACTGGAGAGAAAAAAATGAACATAGAATGACCTCAATATGAGAAAACAAATGATTTGGAAGCTGTCAAGGATAACCATATCTATGTAAAATGTTCCCAGCATAGTACCAGAAAGAAGGTGGTCCTGAACGTGTGTGTGTGTGTGTGTGTGTGAAAGAGAGAGAGAGAGAGAGAGAGAGAGAGAGAAACAGTTTTGTGAATATACCTATCAAACATGCCCAAAGGATGGCATTTCTCCAGGAGTTCCTGAACATCTCTCTCATGCAATGTTCCAGTAACAATAAGGACCACGTTGTCGATCATATGGCCATATCTGAAATTTCAAGGCAGAGGGAACACTCTAAATGAGATGAGGCTTTGAATTCAATCCACGTGACAGCTAAGGTACCCAAGCTCACCCAAAAATGAAATTGTGAAATAAAAGATCAGCGAGATACATACGTGACATACTCAAGGAAAGTTGACAATGGCTCTGTAGCTTGGCATAGCATGTGCTTGTATTCATCCACCAGCTTTTGAGTGCATTTTTCCACAATTGTAGTTGTGTGCAATGGGGATGGTTCTGCAGGCAGTTCAATTTCTTAAATATTAGATGGAGAAGAGATAGCTAAATGTGATATTACATGAGCACAAAATGTAAACCAAATGCCATTCTCATCTGATGCCATATATGATCAAATAGCCATGCAAGCTCCCATGCTTCGTTAAGTTCTAACCTATGGGTACATGTAAAGTACGGAATAGGTTCATAGTTTTCCAAGTTCAAGATTTGCAAATGGACATTGTGAACATAGAGAACAACCGAAACTTTGTGAAAGAGCACCAATTTCATTAGACGCAAGCAACAAAACTTTAAAGTATCATTCATGCAAATTCAAATGTATGCGCTGGTTTTAACCCCATCCAGTGATTTAAAAAGAGGACCGCCCAGCCCTTGGGCGGCCACCTAGGCAGTCCTGAAGGCCTGGGCACATCGCCCAAGCCTAGGCGGCCAAATTAGGCGAATATACCTGGGCGCCCGCCTGAACCCACCTAGGCAGCCACCCAAGGCGTGTGCCCCACATTGAGGGCATTTTTTTATCATTTTTTTAATACTAAAGGGGTAAAATTGCAGCCGCCTAAACTCCCAGGGCCTACGCCCTGCCCAGGGGGAAATTCCCCTCATTGAGGGGATTTTTTTATTTTTTTTTTAATACTAAAAGGGTAAAATTGTGGGTTTTAGGTTCATTTGAAATCTCAAACCTATTAGAGCCTATTTTAGAGAGAGAAAAACCCCACAATTTTTTTCTTTCTACTGGGCCACCTAGGTTCTGGGCGCCCGCCTAAGCGCTGGGCGGCCTAGACCCTCTCGGCCGCCTAGCACTTTTTGAAACACTGACCCCATCAGTTCAATGCAAAGCATACTAGTGCATGTGTACTAGCAGTTTAAGTACAAAAGTACACAGTTCTGGGGAGCATTAAGACATGCCGGCACTAATGTGCACAATCAGAAAGCAGAAAGCACATGCCACATACCACTACATACACAAATGATAGTGGTGCAACTTAACTATTGACAAGAGCGCGTCTTACCATTAAAAAGAGTAGTATTCAAAGTCTGTTTCAATCAATAAAACAGTAGGAGCCACTTATAGCATGAATGGATTCCAAACAAATGGAATACTGAATGAAATATTCATATGACCCGTAGCTAGTGGAATTTCTTGAAATGTCAATTATTTCCAACGCAAATATCAACCATAAACAAATTTCTGAAGAGCATCAACAACTTCTATGAAAAGGTGCCAAAATTTTCAGTTGCGAGACTCTGACCACTCTACAAATCACTAAAAAAACAAATGAACAATTCAAAAAGGAAATGTTTATATAAGGTTGCAACCTTAAACTGTAGAATTAAGGTGCATCTCAAAAATCCATGGAAAAATATTGTTTTGATGTTGGAAAACCCTCTAATTGATCGTCTCAAGAATGATATATATGGGGAAAAAGAAGAAGAAGAAGATTTCGAGTCCAAAAAATAATTATCTTGCAACTCATTATCTTGACTGTCCATTTTCAAGATTTTCATGTGCTTATAGATCTACTTGATTTGACCATTTCTGGAATCTAAAATTTTATAACTAACGATGAAATGAGATTCTCAGGCCATCCTAAGAATTTTTTACACCAAAAATTGCATCTTATGATAAAATTTGGAGGTGCACCTTCCTTTGATTGTTTAAGGTTGCAACCTTATGCAAACCACACCCTTCAAAAAAAAAAACCATCAAGGTTTCTCTTGTAGGAGTCACTTTATAAAGTTAACATAACGAGTACACAAACCACACTTCTTGTAGATTTTACGTCCCATAAAATCCTCTCCATGTCTACCACCTCAAAACAAAGACACACAGATACATAAGCCAACTGAAAATTTTCCACTACCACACTTCAATTTTAAGTCCAATAAATTCCACTGCAACAGCTAATAAAACTAAACAAAACCAGGCAGCCAAAATATTGAAAGAGATAAAATGCTGAGCAGAATGAAGCATTGAATATATGCGTACGCATACATAAACTAATCAAAATTCCATGTTGATAAGAACTACATGCCGAGAATTCACCTGAACTCATTTTACTCAACAATGACCGAAAGCAAAGACTGAGCAAACTGGACATAATACTCAAACCTACTCAGAAATTGAACAAAAGTTTTGGTAAAGAACGGTAAAAATAGAAATTTCCAGAAAAAATTTAAAACAATAATCGCATTATGGAAAAAAACGAAAAGCTAAATGTTTTTTTTACGTCTTTCTAATGAATTTGTATTAAAGTGGACCAGAGAAATCAGAACATGAAAATTTGCACAATTCAAACCTGAATTTCAATGAATCACAAAAAACTCAACGACTTTCCCATCCAAGGACAAAACCCATATCAAAGAAGCCCCAAAAAATATTAAACCATCACATAAAACCACAATTCAGCTTGATCCCAACCTTAAAAATCAAACCAGGTCAAACCCTAAATCCACACAATCGAGCATACCATTCTGCAAATAAGGTCCATATTCAGTGGCAGAGAGATGCATCTTGATGTCATCTAGGGTTTCACACTGGCACAGGTTGTTGTAATCAGCAGCGGTGAGGAGACCAGATCTATAGCCCCTAACAATGGCTTCCAAATAACCCGCGTGAATATTGAAGGTCAAAGCTTCTAACCCATACATGGCTGGTTTTCTTCTTTGAAAAAATCGAAATTCTTCTTCTGAGTGGATCTAGAACAAGGAATTCAATGGAAAAAGTAAAATATATTTGATAAAATGTACTGTATTATTAAGGGATAAAAATGGGATCCCTGGATGATCAGAGGAGGCAGGAAATGAAACGGGGATTTAATATGTTAGAAAATACTAAAATAGCCCTAATTGTTCGAGTGTGTTTACTGTAACGCATATGGCGTGGATACAGTTTAGTCGTGAGGTTATCGCCGTCCAGCCATTCATACTGCTTAGGACCATTAAAATGTTTGATAGGGCCCACACTCTATTTCGCCATTCAAATAAAAATTTACGGTGATGGCTCCATTTCGCCATGTTATTGATATGTGCCCTTACGAGATTTCATAGGTAAAAACCCTTGTAAGATCTATATTTAAGGAAAAAATTAATCATCTCACTTTTTCGTGTTTTTAAGAGATAATCACGTTAATGTCTGTTTTATTTAATGTTATTTAAAATTGGAAAAAGTTTATATAAGGCTGCAACATGTAGAATTATATATGCACCACAAAAATCCATCGGAAAATGATGTTTTAATGTTGAAAAACTTTCTAATTGATCAACTCAACATTAACACTTGTGAATATGAAAAAGAAATTGATTTTGTCTTGGAAATAGTGCAGCACATCATCTAGACCATCCATTTTCAAGATTTTCATATATTTTATAAATCTACTTGATTCTAACCATTTTGGAATTTAAAATTTTATAATTAGATATAAAAATATATTTTCAAGTAATTCTAAGAATTTTTTACGTCAAAAATATATATTATGATAAAATTTGGAGGTACACCTTAATTGGATTGTTTAAAGTTGCAACCTTAAAAACCACATTTCATATCTTTAAGATCCAAAAACAAATATATATATATATATATATATATATATATATATATATATACAACTTTACAACATCTGACGTTGCATGTTAATTAATCTTGTAAGGTTTTTGGGGCTTATTTATTTATCCCTCGCAAAATTTGAAAAATTTTCTTTTGAAGTTTGAGTTTGGTCAATGAAATAAATGTATCCGTCTAATTTCACATGCAATAGTCAATATCAATTGTGACTAACTTTTACCAAAGATAAATGGTTTCATTGTATACTTTTTTTTATAAAATATCCTCATATTTTTGTAGTTTTTATGCCCTGTTTTGTGGTTCTTTTACTTTTCCCTTAGATTCCTCTTTCTTGACCAAGGGATAGCTTTCAAAACTTAGGAAGTTCTAAGTCGAGTTCTTCATAAATGTAAATAATTCGGGACTTTAAGTTCGAAACCAGCAGTTTACCAAAAGGACAATTAAGCCCGTACGAATTTTAATCTTTGAACTAGGTGACTTGTTTTTCTTTTATTTCTTATTTTATTTTTATTTTTATGTCAAGGATGAGTGCTAAACCTTAAGTTCCAAATGGGTCTCTCACTCAAATTTATAGCTAGAGTGAGTATATTTGCGACTTAGCGAGAACATGGTAAAATAAGTCCTTCGAGTAAAATAGTTACTTATATTTAATATCCGTACTTGTTATTTTTTAAAGTAGTCATCCCGTAATTACAAAATGGATGCTAAAATTTAAAACAATACATTCTACACTGTTAATATTTTAAAATATTTAATATCATTATCCTATAATATAGTAACTTTTTGTTTAGAGGTATTTTAGGTAATTATTTAATGACAAAGTAGAAATTCAAAATAAAAATAAGAACATTTATTAATTATAATGGAAAATGACACCCAATATAACATCACCCACATGAAACATTAATTGTCATCAAATTATTATAGAAATATCTATCCTACTCTTTCTAATGACGAAAAATAGTATTGTTTAAAAAAATTGAACTACAAAATAAAGATAATTAATATAAAAAAATATTGAGTACATTTAATAAATGCTCACGTATGTATCCTAACATAATCATAATAAAATACGTACGCATCATGCCCCACATGGGTTGATGAGCTAACACGTGAGAGAGAGAGTGAGAAAGTGAGAGAGAGAGAAAGAGAGAGAGAGAGATAACTTTAGGCATGGATTGAAGGGGGCTAGAATCAAAATAGTGAGATAGGGAATGTTTTATTGTATTTCTTTGAATGTTATAGTGGGACAGAATCTATGTTTGGGGCTTTGGTCCTTAGTCATCATTAACTATTGGGTGCAATTGGCATACGGATGCATCCGTAGGTGTAGAGGTAAGGTGCACTTTCAAATGTGCACTTTCAAAATTTATCATGGTATATAATTTTGATGTAAAATGTTCTTATTATCATCTCAAAATCGATTTCTATATCTGATTAAAAAATTTAAAATTTCAAAAATTGTTAAAATCAAGTAAATCTATAAACATACGAAAATATTGAAAATAGACAGTGTAGATAATATGTTGTAAAATGCATTATTTATAAGACTTAAAATCTTTTTATTTTGCATAGTTTTTTTAACGTTAAAACCACTTTTTTCGATGAATTTTTTAGGGGCATCCGTAATTCTACATTATAAGGTTGCATCCTTATATAAACTTTTCCTTTTAACTGTTATTCCATTTTGGGCTATTTATTGTATTTTTTGAAGGGGAAAAGTTTGTGTACAGCCTAGGCTCTAAACAATCAAATTAGAGCCTACTTCAAAACTTTCACTAGAAAAAGTTAATTTGATGATCAAATATCATCAAATTGATCATCTTGACATCAAGAGGTATGGATATGAGAAAAACAGGGATTTCAAGTTTTGAAAATAGTGCATCTTGTAACGTAGTTTTTGAACAATCAATTTTCAAGATTTTCAAGTTTTCATAGATATTCTCGATCTACACTATTTTTTAAGCTTTAAATTATATAACTAAAGATAAAAATATAATTTAAGGCTATCACAAAAATTTCCAATATTGAAACCATATTTCTCAACAATATTAGAAGGTGGGCTCTAATTTGATTATTTAGAGCCTCGGATCTATACAAACCGCACCCCTTTCTGAATGGCGAATTTGATTGTGACATTCGCAAGAAGGTAATGGGATCGCAATAGTGTGGCAGTTGTTTGAGCTGAGTTTCCACACACCCCTTTTTATTTATTTCTTAGTAATTTGAATTTCCAATCAGAGGGTCCCGGCCGTGTATGCAAATTACTTATTTGAACCTGAATGCATCAACGAAATCTATAAAAATAAATAATAATAAAAAAAAATCACACTTAACACATACATGAGAGAGAGATAATGAGACACATTATAATGTGCGGATTGGAGTGGTATGGTTGCGCGTATGTATCGCATGAGTAATATTTACATTCCTTTTTTTTTTCTCAAATGATTTGATTACTTAAGGAAGAAAATGTCATAATTTGATTTTAGAAAATTTTATAGTGCTGGTCCTATTTACTTTCTTTAGGTAAAATTTCCATGGTGGTCTAAGAAGGATGATGATGTTAAACTTTCTCTAAACCATCACAAGCCCGGGTAAAAGACGTGGGTTATGTTATGTTAGGTATGTAACCAACGTAAAACTTTGTAAAACTATTCATGAATCCTGAATCTATGAGGTAAATTTTCCAAAGGCTGAGGTAGTGCTTGAAAATTGAAATCATCTACATATTGAGATTATAAAGTTTCGGAGGTGGGGTCATGGTTTTAATTAATTTTAGAAGGTTTCGGCATTGTTACAATTTCAAAAAAGTATAGAAGGCTATAATAATACGTTAAATTTGGAGAAATTATCAAAAATATTCTTCAATTTTAGCTTAATTGAAAAAAAAAAAAAAAAAAAACCTAAACTTTCGTAAATCTCGTCCACACCTTTTTTTTTCTCATTTTCGACGTGTTTTTTTTTACCAAAATAACATTCACAGCAATTGTATTACCGTGAAGAACATTACCGTACTTAAAATACCGTAATGTTTAACGTATTTTATACGATACCTTAAATACCGTAATGTTTAATTTTATGAGGTATTTTAAGTACTATGCAGTTTTATAGAGGGACCGTAATATTTAAAGCATTTTATATGGGATTTTTAATATGATATTAGAAATAAAATATTTAAGACATTTTATACGGGATTTTTAATATGGTATTGTTGAACATTCAGGCCAACCAAATAGAAATATAAATTTGAAGTTCCGATACTCTACAAAGAAACCCTAACTGAATTTTCAATCGAGCATTAATTGTGAAACCCTAACTGAATTTCAATCTTTTCCTAAGTATTAATTGTGTAATAAAGTTTAGAAGTCAAGAAAACATCCATTTTCTTCATAGCATGAGAAACACCATGCTCAACTTTAGTTTCATTGCACAATTGAAATGGCTATACCCAACTTTTAATGGAGTCCTAACCGCTACCAAACCCAAGAGCTTGAATTTTGGCACACTAGATTCACTTTGCCTATCATGATCCTTAACACTACAATATTCCATTGCGATAATGGAGAAGAAAACCCTTACAGAATCAATGGCAGTCTACAATATTCCATTGCGATAATGGAGAAGAAAACCCTTACAGAATCGATGGCAGTTTTCAGTAATGGCAGTTTTCACTAATAAGTTTTGGCAGAACATAGAGAAGAAAACCCAATTGAAACTTTGTTTTATAACTTAAAGACGAGAGAATCAATGGCCGATTTCAATAATGGAAGATGAATTCAGGATATAAATGAAGAACCCACTTTCCTGTTTATTTAGAGTTTTAGAAGATTCCTCCTGTCTTATTCATCCCAAGGTAACGCTTTACTTATCAGTATAACAGTGGTCTAGAGAGAGAGCAATAGACAGAGCCGCAGAAGAGTAAAGCTACCGTAATACATGTGAACTTTCGGTCAGTTATTACGGTATTTAAAGATGTGAACTTTGGGACAGTCATTACGTATTAAAATTATCGTAATATTAGGTTTGGTCAAAAAAGTGTAAAAATTAAAGAAAAAGGATATGTTAGGGCTTAAAGGTAACATCACTACCTTGATGGCTATTTTGAAAAAAAAAAAATGTTAAAATTGAGAAAAAAGAGTATAGAGGAGGCTTACGAAAATTGATAGGTTTTTTTTTTCTCTTCTAATTAGACAAAATAAAAGTATATTTATGATAATTTCCCTTAAATTTGTATGAATTGAAGTATTGCAAACTTGCAAAAGCA